GAGTAGCTAGGATTACAGGTGTGAACCACTGGCACCTGGCTGTGAATATTATTATTATTATTATTTTGCAGTACTGGTGGTTGAACTCAGGGCTCTGTGCTTGTTAGGGAGGCAGTCTACCACTTGAGCCACAATGCCAGCTCTTTTAGTTATTTTTTGGGTAAGGGTCTTGGATTTTTGCCTGGTGCCAGCCTCAATCCTCCTACCTATGGTCTCCTGTGTAGCTGGCTGTGGTGGCTTAAGCGTGCCCAGTTTATTTGTTGAGATGAGATCTCACTACCTATTTGTTGATTGATTGATTGATTTTTTTATAGTACTAGGGTTTGAATTTAGGGCCTCATACTTGCTAGCCAGCTGTTCTACCACTTAAGTCATACCCCAGCCCTTCTTGCTAATTTTTGCTAGGGATGGCTTAGAACCTCGATCTTCCCCAGTAACTGGGACTACTAGCCTAAAAGATGTTATCAGGGATGTCTGGCAGAGTGGCTCAACTGGTAGAGCACCTGCCTAGCAAGCATGAGGCCCTAGTATTGCCCCCCTCCAAAAAAAAGGAGCCAGAATGATTATAAGTTCACTTTGAATTTTCCAATTACTATGGTATCAGCTTCTATTTTAGCTGGGCGCCAGTGGTTCATGCTTATAATCCTAGCTACTCAGGAGGCAGACGTCAGGAGGATCAAGATTCTAGGCCAGCCCAGGCCAAAAAAACCCATCTCGAAAAAACCCATCACAAAAAAGGGCAAGTGCAGTCGCTCAAGATGTAGACTCTGAGATCAAACCCCAGTACCATAAAAAAATGGTATTGTATATTAATTTCCAAATGCAAATCATTTGACAAGTGATCTTTGAGAGCCTGATAACTCTCAGGTGTGCTCCTAAGCTTAGTATTTGGTTATATGAGCAATCACAGAATCTGGAAACATGGCTAATTTCTCTAGAACAGAATTCTGGAATATTGGTCCAAGGGGCTATGATCATTTTTTTGTGGGACTGGGATTAGAACTCTGGACTTCAAGCTTTAAAGCAGGCACACTACTGCTTGAGCCACACCTCTAGTCCATTTTGCTCTGGTTATTTTGGAGGTGGGATCTCTTGAATTATTTGCCTGGGCTGGCCTTGAACCAAAATCTTCCTGATCTCAGCCTCCCAAGTAGCTAGGATTACAGGTATAAGCCACCACTGCCCAGATGGCTATGACCATTTTTAAAGATTTTTGGCTTATATTGCTAAAGGCACATCCAAAAATTTTGAGGTAATTTATAGGCTTTCAATATATGACAGTGATTACCAGACCCCTGCCTATGTGGATTTTTTTTGGTTTTTTTTTTTTTTTTGGAACTAAGATTTGAACTCAGGGTCTCATGCTTGCTAGGCAGGCACTCTACCACTTAAGCCACTCCACCAGCCCCTATGTTCTGTTTTGGGATTTTTAAAATTTATTTATTTGTTAGTGGTACTGGGGCTTGAACTCAGGGTTTTAAGCTTGCAGAACAAACCCTACAGCTTGAGCCACATCTCCAGTCCATTTTGCTATGGTTAGCCTGATCTAGTTTTTTTTTTTTTTCTATATTCTGGATATTAATTCCTTGTCAGATGGATAATTGGCAAAGATTTTCTCTCACTCTTTACTTTGATAACTGTTTCCTTTGCTGTGCAGAAGCTTTTTAATTTTCTGCAACTCCATTTGTCAATTCTATTATTTCCTGAGCTATTGGAGTCCTATTCAGAGTCATTGCCTGTGTCTATACCTTGAAGTGTTTCTTGTAGTAATTTCAAATTCAAAGTTTTAGAGCTTACATTCAGGTCTTTGATACATTTTGAATTGATTTTTTAAAAACGATTTTTTTTTTGTGGGACTAGTATTTAAACTCAGGGCCTACACCTTGAGCCACTCCACCAGCCCCCTCACCTCTTTTTTTGTATTGTTGTGCTGGGTGGGGGTACATTGTGGCAATTACAAAAGCTCTTACAATGTATCAAATATATCATACACCAGCCCTTTTTTGTGAAGGGTTTTTTCCAGATAGGGTCTTGCAAACTATTTTCCCCTAGCCGGCTTAGAACCTTGATTTTCCTGATCTCTGCCTCCTAAATTACAGGAATGAACCATAGGTGCCCAGTGAGTTTCAATCTTATACATTTAGATACTTAGTTTTCCCAGTACCATTTGTTGAAAAGGCTGTCTTCTCTCCAGAAATGTTTTTTAGCACCTTTTTGGAGAATCAGATGGCTATATTGGGTTTATTTCTGCATCCTCTACTCTATTCCATTAGTCAACTGTCCGTTTTTGAGTCAGTACCATACTGGTTTTCTATCTGTGGCTCTATAGTATTACTTGAAGTCAGTTATTATGGTACCTCCAGCATTGCTTTTTTTTTTTTTTGTGGTACTGGGGCTTGAACTTAAGGCTTACACCTCCTTTATTGTGATGAGCTTTTCCGAGATAGGTTCTCACTATTTGCCCAGGCTGACTTTGAACTGCAATCCTCCTGATCTCTGCCTCTGAGTAGCTATGATTACAGGCATGAGCCACTGGTGCCTGGCTCATATTTCCTTTTATACAGATGTTTGACATTTCCTTTTTCATCCATTGTGCTCTTGCTATTTCTTCTTTTTTTTTTTTTTTCACATGAAAGTGTTGAGTTTATTAATCCTCATGAAGAGCCCATAACCATTGCAGGTGTTTACAGTTTATTAATCTTCATGGAAAACCCGCACAATCATAGCAGTTAAAAGTCACTGTAGGGAGAAATGGCCCAAACAATGTATGCACATGTGAATAAATGAATAAAAAAATTAAAAGAAAAAGTCATTGTAGAATCCTTATTCCTCCGGCTTTTTGCCAGCACCAACATTGGCCTTTGCTGTACCCTGACTTTCTTCCTTTCGGTGTTTCCTTGAGGTCTTTTTCTTCTCATACAGGCCATGTCTTGCAAGTCTGTGTTTGGGCTCATTTTTCTTTGCATAATCCAAGGAATCATAAATCATGCCAAAGCCAATTGTCTTTCCACCACCAAAATGGGTTCTGAATCCAAATACAAAAATGACATCTGGTGTAGTTTTGTAAATTTTAGCTAGTTTTTCACAAATTTTTGTCTTAGGTACTGCTGCTTTTCCAGGATGAAGGACATTGATGACCTCTTAGTCCGTTGGTCATAAACTTCCTGGTTCATATAGTTACTGTGTCATTCATGATGAGGGATGATCCCCAGGCAGCCAGGGAGAAAAGAGGGCTTCTTTTCCCTGGCCAATCATGTCAACACGAACATCTTGCTCTTTCTAAGGTTGTTTCCAGGGTTTCTTTCTTTTTCTTTCTTTCTTTCTTTTTTTTTGTGGTGCTGGGGATTGAACGCAGGGCCTACACTTTGAGCCACTCCACCAGCCCTTTTTGTGTTAGGTATTTTCAAGATAGGGTCTCTCAAACTTGTTTGTTCAGGCTGGCTTCAATCGGTGATCCTCCTGATCTCTGCCTCCTGAGTAGCTAGGATTACAGGAGTGAGCCACTGACTCTACCTTCGTTTCTATTGTTTCATTCTCAAGGGGAGAAATGGTAGCTGTTTCTGGCTCTTTATTCTTCCAGGTGAACTTAGAATTTTGTAAATCTAAGAAAAATGTTCTGTTAAGATTACATTAAACCTATAACATTGATTAAGAAAAGAATGATTGTATAATTAGCTTTTTTTTTTGTGGTACTGGTTATTAAAGCAGGGACTACACCTTGAGCTACTCCACCAGCTCCTAGGCCCCCCCTCTGACCCCCCTCTTTTTTTTTTTTGTAAAGGGTTTTTCGAGATAGGGTCTTGCGAACTGCTTGCCCAGGCTGGCTTGGAACTGCCATCTTCCTGATCTCTGCCTCCTGAGTAGCTAGGATTATAGGCATGAGCCACCGGCGCTTGACCTAGCCTCTTGAAGGGTTATCAAATTGGGTTTCAATCTCCTGTGTGGCCTTGTCACAATTTCCCTATAGAGCAGACGTGGACTCCTCTCAAACTTCTCCGACCTTAACAGTCGGAGTGTATTCCTTTGTTTGGTATTCAAAGTAGAGGGAAGTCCATTAAGTAATTCCCTGGAGAAATGGCCATGGCTCTCAGCCAGCCCCAACCCCTTAGAAAGCCATCTGAATGATAGCCCACGAGCCTGGGTCCCAGTGGGCTAGCTTGGGCGCGCCGCTTGACCCCTGGGGCCTGCAAGGGGCTGCGGTCACCGGAAGGGGCAGGCTGAGGAAGCATGCTCGGGACCTCTGCGTCCTCTGAGCAGGTAGGGCCGACCTGCGGGGGTGCGGGCGCGGGGGCGAGAGGGGGCACTGGGGTCAGGGGTTACGGGGCTCTCCTCCTCCGGACACAAACGGCCCTGGTGTCCCTGGGAGCCAAAGACCACGAAGCCTGCAACCTTTGGGAACTGAGCTTTGGAAACTGGGACTACTGCGGGGGCCGGGGAGCAAAGTCGTCTAGAAGGTGAGGAGCAGGCTGCTAGGGATCCCTGACGGGAGACTGCGAAAGGTCAGAGTCAGGCTCAAAGCGGGGGATAAACCTTCAGTTTGGGGGGGCTGGGCGTGGGCCTGTGCGTGGCGGGGGGGGGTGTTCCAGTCTCTGCCCCACGGGTGTGCGGTCTGAGTGCGTCGAGGGCGAAGTCGCTATCCCACTCTCGCGCCTGGGTAGGGGTTCTGTTGGGCATCTGGGGTCGGGGTCTCCGGCCCCTCCCGCGCGCCCCTCCCCCACGGCACCGTGCTGCGGCCACCCGCCCCGCCCAGCGCTCTGACTTCTTGCCAGCTCCGCCCCGTTCCCTAGGCCCCGCCCTCAGACGGACCCGCCCCTTAGCCCCGCCCCGCCGCTCGCCCATTCAGATGTGGGTCAGGGGTGAGCGGGCGGTGCCGACGTCACAAGCTTCCAAGATGGCGCCGGGCGGGCGGCTGTGAGCGGCGCTCGGGGCGCGCTGGGCGGGGAGCCGGGCCGGGCCGGGCCGGCGGCGGGCGGACGGGGCGGACGCGGGCGGCGCGGGCCGGGCGCCGAGCACGAAGGGCCGCTGGCAGGGCCGGCCGGCCGGCGGGCGGAGCGCCGCCACTGACGCACATGAGGTGAGGGGCGGCCGGGAGTGCTGGGGGCACGGGCGGGGGCCGCGGGCCGGGCGCGCCCCCGGGGAGAGGGGCGTGGGCGCGCGTGCGCCCGGGCTACGAGGAGCTGCGCGCGTGTGGGAGCGCGCGCGCGTCAGCTTGGTCTAGGCGGGGGCGCACGCGGGACCCCCGGCGGGCAGGGCTTTGTGGCCCGAGTGCCCGGCAGGGCGCGGGCGGCAGGGACACCTGGCACAAAGCCCCCGGGGCCGCGCCAAGCCCGGGACGCGGGCTAGCAGAGCAGGGGTCGGCGGGCTAGCGGGCGCCGGTTCTTTGTGCCTTTTCATTAGCAATCTAATCCGAACCGCGTCCAGCGAGCTGCGCTGCCTGACAGGCAGGCGGGCGGGCTCCCATTATGCTAACGGCATTGCGACCGCGGCCGCCCCAAGCTGGACTGTTTTGCGATTTCAGAACAGCCGTCCTGTACCGTGTGCGGTCCCTTTCCTCTCGAACCCTTCCCCAAAATACGACTGGCTGGGTCAGGGGCACGGTCAGGCTTGGAGGGGCTGACTCCAGAGGGCCGGACTCTGCGGCTGGTGGGCTCCCTGCCCTGCCCCCAGACCTCTCCTGTAGGCAGCCGCTTGGCAGGAAGAGAGATGGCCTTGGGGGGAGGGGGTCGGCTGGCAGGGGGAGGGAACAGACTGGCTAAGGGAGGGAGTTGAGAGGCCCCAGCTTGTCGCTCTGTTTATCTTCACCCTTGGTTCATATTCACATAGGTCTGGGTGTGTGTGTTTGGGGGAAAATGCCTCTCCCTGGGGGGCAGTGACTTGCGGACTGGAGGGAATGAGGCCAGATAGTGCTCCCAAGCAGCCCCACCCAGAACAGTTTGGGACCGCCTGAGGACGGGAGCACAAAACTGTTCCTGACTGGTTGGAACGTCGTTGAAGTTTTTTTATCCGTATCCTACCTCTCTGCCCCCAGTGTCTTTTCTAGTAGGAATTGCCAAACATCTGGAAAGCCGCGTTCCCGGCCCCTCAACTCCCAGCAGCAGGAGGGGTGTAACCCAGAGAGGCCACCCCTCTGACATGTGGTGGTGGTGGTGGGGGAGGGGCAGATCCTTGCCCAAAGGAATCCTGTAGCGGTGGGTTGTTGACTGATTGGTTGTGACGATTGCTGTGCCTCTTGTTCTCGGGAGAGCTGGCAGGTAGTGCAGGGGGTCTCTGCTTGTAGGTTGAACTTGGGGCTACCACTAGGGCCTGAGAATGGAGAGCTGAAGCTGGGTGGACCAAATCCAAGATCTTGCTGGATCTAGCATTTATTGCTCCATGGCTCCTTCTTTGGTTCTGTTCCCATCCGCCAGTGTCTGGACTCCCTGGCCTTCGAGCAGGCATTTTCAGGAGCGTGGGCCATGTGGCCGTTCTGCAGCCCTGGCTAAAGGAGAGCATGTATGCTCAGTAGAGCAGGGTTGCTGGAGTAGTCTGAGGAAAAAAAAAAAAAAAAAAAGCAGATGGGCCAGCCTTAGGCTGGCCTCTAGAGACGAAGCTGTGTGGTGAGATTGCTGGTGTAGCCAGCTTTTAACACCAAAGAGGGGGTAAGGGATGGGTGAGAGGTTGGTATTGGGCTGAACCCTTTGGCCCAGGGTTGTTCTAAAGAGTAGGTCACCCTGCCTGCAAGTGAACCTTCCATCCTGTGTAGATGAGGTTTTATGAAAATCTCTGGGCCCCACAGGACAGTCTTGGAAGGCTGGGAAGAGGCTGCGCTCTCAGGTTGATCTTTCCTTTGGCTCCTGGTCTCCTGTAGGTCAATTCTGGGGTGTTACAGAGTGCTTTTTGTCCAGCCTCTCTGGCTGTTTGACTGAGTGCCTCCGTGTGCCCAGAATTTTTCCCTGCAGTGCTTTCCTGCCAGTTGTTGGGACTTGTAGATTAGTCACTGAGCTTTTACAAGTGATTCCTGAAAAGAAAAATCTCCCTCTGGATGCTGGCTCTGCATAGAGGAAGAAGCAGCCCCAGGGAGCTCGGCCTTTAATTAAAGCAAAACCGAAATGATTGCTGCAATTGCTGGAAGGAGAAGAGGAAGCACAGGTGGGGCAGAAGCGATGTGTCCTGTCCTGCTGCGAAGTAACTGCTCTGGGGATGGACAGGTAGGCATGATCCTGTCCTTCTGCCTGGTTTTGGCCAGCAGCCCAGCCTTCTCCACAAGCTGCAGTCCTGGATTAATCCTCATGCAGTGTTTTCTTTCCATAGATCAGATTTCTCATTTTGTTAATAAGTACAGCCTCCGATCCACTTGAAGTCAGCTGTTGTGGACTCAGAGCAACAGGGTTTTGCATTATTGAGCTGCAGGGCCTGCTGCCTTCCTATGAGTCCTTATTGTCTGTCAGGATCAGCTCTGAGCCGGTGAGGTAGAGGGTGGGTGGTGCCTTTTAGTCAGCAGCTAGCCCCTGGAGAAGGGCTGGCTGGGAAGTTCCAGAGAGAGGAGTGAGGAAGGAATAAAGTTCAGTTTACATAGGGGACCTGTGGTTCTGCCCTTTTTGCTTGACCTGTTGACCTTGAGCCATCAGCCCCACCCTGTGTCTGCTTTTGCCCACTGGGGCTGAGGGCTACTACCCCCAGAACCTGATCACTAGGAGGGTGGGGGCTTTTCCTGGGAAGAAGCAATCAAGATTCCTCCCCTCCTGACTTCTTGGAGCCTGACTGAGCAGGGTCCCCTGCAGGGCAGTGAGAGGGGAACTGGACTTGGTTAGGAAGTCTGGAGTATGACGCTGGCTCTACAGTTTACTCTCCATGCAACCTTGGATAGTGATTAACTCTCCCCATCTTAGAGTCCTCAGTCTAAAATGGAAACAACTGGAATTTACATCCACGTCTCACTGTCCTCCAGAGTTCAGCCTAGTGAAGACAGACAGGCAAACAAATGATTGTAAGATGGGGTGATAGGGTTGGCATGGGTAGTGTGGCACAGGCAGGGCCTGTCCTGAGTTGGAGGAGAGCCCTGAATGCCATGCTGGGTTGCAGTTGGTGGAGATAAGCAGGTTTTTTTTTTTCTTTATTTACTTTTCTTTATTTATTTTTGAGACAGGGTGTCACTACGTAGCCCAGGCTAGCCTCTAACTTAAGATCCTCATTCCTCAACCTCCTGAATGCTGGAATTACAAGTGTGCACCACCCTGCTGAGATGAGCATTTCCTCCTACCCCCACCCCACCCAGCCTGAACTACATTTTGAACTTAGGGCTTTGCACTTGCTAGGCAAGAGCTCTACTGCTTGAGCCACCCCTGTAGCCCAAGCTGAGTAATTTTAACCAGGGAGTGAGTGCTTTGGGTTTTCAAAAGGCACTGGTAATGTAGATAGAGGGTGGGCTGGGGAAATGGCCAGACCACTGAAAACGAGGACCTACAGATTTGTTGAGAAGGCAGGTCAGGGGTACCCACTGCCTTCCAGGCAAGTGTGAGCCTCATTCATAAGCTCTTTATTCATTGAGCCACATTTATTTTCTGAATGCACACTCAGTGCTTGTCCCCTTATGGTAGACTAACTTGGGTTGGCAGGTGTGATAGGGACACTTGTGGATTTTCTCAGAAACCTTCCAATTCAGCAGGAGTCTCCTTTTATAGACAGTAAATGATAGGACTGGGAGATTAAATAATTTACTGAAGCTGGAGGATAAAGGCCTTTGAGTCTAGAGCCTGTGAAGGCCCATATTACATGGTGTCTGGAGAGATTTGCGATTTTACCATGTACAGGTAGGGCCGAGAGCCCCCTTCCCAGGCTCTGTCTTGTCAGGTAGGGGCTTCTGAACAAGTCCATCCAGTTTCAGTCTTCCTGGCACCAGTAGGGTTTGCTTCCTCCTAGGGGGCCTTGCCCTAAGGGTTAGGCACCTGGGCTTGGGGGAGGGCTATGAGGAGGGACTGCTCACCTTGAGCCCAGTGTTAGTTGGGAGTGGTAAAGCAAGAAAAGCAAGCGGTGGGGGTGGGGGCCCCCAGTGAGCTTGATAAGGGAAGGCCAGGATCTGGTTCCAGGTCCTACCACAACCTGAGAGGGACGGGCCCTGGGAAGGCATGACTGGACTGAGTGGGGAGAGTGATATACTACCGCACTCTTGAGACTTTGAGGAAGGCTGCCAGGCCTGATGGAACTTCTTCTGACTGTTCATCTCCTATGTTTTTCATGGTAACGTTAGCATGTAGAGGAGAAGGGAGTATGGCGTTAGGGTTGGAGCAGGGGCACTCAAGGTGAGTGGGGGTGGGTCAGCTAGCTGCCTCTAGGCCAGAGAGTCTTGCTGCTCCTTGTGAGATAGCAGTACATAGTAGGTGCTTGTTTCCTGTTTGAGGGTGATCCACCCCTGGGCATTCAAGGGATGTAGGTGAGAAGGGGTGTAGGGTATGGAAAAGCAGGCTGCCTTGCCAGGTCTCTCCATCCATCCTGTGGGAATTCCCAGAGTGATTAAGGACGCTTTGGTGAACTGGGTGCTTCCAGGTGGGTGTTGGCCTGTTCTGGAGAAGGAAGGGCTGTGTTGGCTCTGGTGTGGGCGTGGCTGCTAAGCAGAGTTGTCCTATGTAGTTCTGGGGCCTTGGGCTTCATTCCTTGGCAACACCTCTGGAAGGGTGGGTGGGCTCTATTGCAAGTATGGGGAGGAGCTGCTCCTGTTCCCACACTGGGGACTGAGCCTTGCTGGGCTTTCATCAGTCTGGTTGTACACCCTTTAAGGGAGAGGACTCCATCTAGCCTTAATCCTGTCTGTGGCCTTCGCAGCTGCCTTTGAAGAAGGTAAACTCTTGGTGAGTTCTCATTCACAAGTGAGCCTAGTGGCTTGGTGGTCTGTCTGTGTGGACACAGCAGGACTTTTCTGGGTGATGAGCACAGCTGCACATTCACCCAGCAGTGCCTTTGTCTGTGCTGGCTGGTGGTCTGGCTCAAAACTTGGGTGTATATCATGCTTTCTGGAGCCCAGACCAAATTTGGATGGTCCAAGCACCTGTTATTCCTATAGTGAATCAGGTGTGTGGTCAAGTTTGAGAACCACTGCTG